AAATATTAAAAAAAAAAAAAAAGCACTAGGTAGACACATAACAGACCAGACTAATAAGATCTTCTCCTCCAATAACTTGAACCCTGAGTGGAGGCACATGGGGACAGGAGGCAGAGTCCTAGAGAGCTGGATAAAATCTTTGTTCCTAAGATCTCGGTAACCTTTATGTTTCCTCTCCTTAAATTCTAAACTATTCCTCTATGACTATATACATGTCTTTTTTATTAGTTTCTGCAATAAAAATAATGATAATAAAAATAATTTAAAAATAACAATAAAGAGTATTTGGGGGATGTGGGGATTTAGCTTGTTTTTTTCTCCCCAAATCATAAATTTACTACTCCAATACAACAGTTTTTTATTTGCTCACATTACCTATTGGTCCAATTTTGCACAGTTAAAATCATAATATACACATTCTCTTTCGTGTAGACTTTTCTACACTTGATCTTAGCCAAAAGGCCGAGAAGCGATCGTGAAGGCTTTTCTACCTAGCATTATACCTACAGTAATGTTTTGTGCTTCCAGAGGCCTTCTATTCATCATTTTAATGCATGTTATTATCTTGTATTTATACATCATCATTTATTAAATCTTGATCCAGCGGTTGGATATTTGGACTGATTTTAGTGTTTTCTTAGCAGACTCAATGTTTAAAAAGAACATATTCATAGCAAGCATTTTGCTTTTGTTGAATTCTTTCTTTCCTCAGGATAAATTCACAGAATTGAGAAATGGATCTGCTGTGGTGCTATCCTTTTGTATTTTCATACATTTGATGTGTTGCATTGTAAAGTGAAAGGTGCTTTTGTGCTACAAGTAAATTTCTGTTTTGTGTATTTGGATTTTGATTTATAAGTTATTATTAGATCAAGCTAACTCAAATTAGTAGAATTTACATGGTTATGTCTCCTTGTTATGTATCTCTATGTTATGACTATTGTACAGGCGTTAGAGTGATTTACAATTTTTTAAGTAAAAATTTTGTTGGACATGACAAATAAAGAATATGGCACGAATCACAAAAGCAGACTCAACCAATTTTCACAAAGTGAAACACACCCATGTAACCACTATGAAGCTCAAGGAGGATCACTGGTCCTCTAGAAATCCCTTGAAGCTCCTACCCAGCTGTTACATTGTCAAGTATCCACATCTATCACCATAACTTACTGTCTTATGTGCTTAAACTCCAAATGAATGTACCCTTTGGTGCATGGTTTCTTTCATCAATATTATGCTTGAAAGCTCCTTCCATGCCATGTGTAATAGAAGCTCCCCCATTCTTGTTGCTGTATTGCATTGAACAGATTTACCATAATTTATTTATCCATTCTGCTATTGATGAACAATTGGGCTATTTCTAAATCTTGGCTACTATGAAAAGGACTGAAATTACTCAGTCATAGGGTTAGGCATATATATATTCAGCTTTCCTAGATGCTGCCAGTTTTCCAAAGTGATACACCAATTTACATCCTTACCAGCAGCACAGAGTTCTATTTGCTTCCATTCCTCAGCAATGCTTAGTATATTAAATCTTTTTTTAATATTAGACATAATGATAGGTATATAATGGTATCTTATTCTGATTTTAATTTGTGTGCCTCTTCATATGTTTATTGCCTGCT